TAAGAAAACACAGAACAAATAAAAGACAGTGGCCACACAACAAGAGACACCAGAACAGACAGCACAAATATCCGACAACAAGAGACACCAGAACAGACAGCACAAATAGCTGACACCCAGAAGAGATCTCGTTCCAGCACCACAGATTGGAGGGGCCTCTCCCCTCCCCTGAAGTAGGCTGCTCTTACCAAAAGCACCCACTGCCTGCCCGTGAGTTCAGGAAGGGCTTCTTCCCCCACTCATCCGGTGCGTCCGCCGGTTTCCCGATCCAGCGCGTCCGCCGGTCCCTGTACCCTTGGATTGGTTCCCTACGCAAGAGATTGATCCCAATCCTGCCGGCTCCAGTACCTGACCCCCACTCCCCTTCTGTCGGGGGCAAGATTCCGGCTCGAACTTTTTTCTCCTTCCCGGCCAACGCACCAAATGTTAGCCCAGGTTATGAAGGAGTTGTTCGGTGCGAGGAATTTGCCAACACACGACAATGCAAGTGCAAGGAGAGTTTATTTGCTAGCTCGAGTTAGGGTCTCTGCTCTCACCAATTCAGTGACTTGAGCAAAAGACCTCATGCTCTTTTACTATCACATTTTTATAGAAAAAAAAAATATAGGGTGGAGAAGATAATTGGGTTTTAGGACAGGGGTTTGGGAAGTTGGGGGGTGGGTTGGAATCCCCCGGCTTCAAAGGTGAGTGAGAGATTTTTTGGGGGCCGGGTGGATCTTTTTAATATGTGCAAAATCCATGGGGAGGTGAGAGCTGTCGGAGCTTTCAAAGGTGGGTGAGAGACTTTTTGGGGCCAGGGAGATTTCTGATAAAAAGTTCTGAGGCATGGGACGTGTTAATCTCCATACTAAAGGCTTCTGGTTTAAGATCTACCTGGAGGCATTAGGACTCAGCATGGGATGTGTTAATCTCCATACTAAAGGTTTCTGGCTAAAGATTTCCCTGGAGGCTATTAGGATGCGGGCCTCAGCTCCACATTAACTGTTAACCAGAAGGCTGGTAGTTCAAACCCACCAGCCACTCCTCAGAAGGAAGGTTGGGCAATCTACTTCTGCAATGATACCGCCTCAGAAACCCAAGGAGGGGTTTCTACAAGTTGCTTCCTACTCAACGGCAGTGCGTTGCATTGTATATATAAAATCAGTACCAAATACAATTTATATCAAGTTTTAAAACATTCAAATATCTCAAATGATGCCAACACAATATGGAGAAATACATAGTAGTTGTAAGTGTTGATATATAAAGATAGATATTGAAACTAAAGCAAAGTAATAATTGTACTATTTGTAAACATAAATTATTGCATTGTAAGTTATCCTTCGAAAGATATTCCTTCAGCCTACCAACATACTAGAAAATAGGCACTTTCTTTAGAAAGAAGATGGCCTTGAAAAGCAAGCAGAATAGATAAATAGAGATGGCTGGATATGGATGGATAGACAGGATAGATGATACATTTTCTAAATGCCTTTAACATATGAATAAGAACATCAACATGACAATCTCAGATCTTAGAATTTCTCCTACAATGTAGAGAAGATATCCCTTCTGTATTTACATCATGATCTTGCTTTCATAAAGTTGTTGTTATGTGCCATCGAGTCAGATCCAACTCATAGCGACCCCTCCTTGGGTTTCCGAGGCAGTATTACTATGGAAGTAGATTGCCCAATCTTTCTTCTGAGGAGTGGCTAGTGGATTTGAACCACTAGCCTTCCAGTTAGCAGTCAAGTGCTTTAGGCACCATGCTACCAGAGCCCCCTTCATAAAGTAGAGGAGGAAATTACATGAAGCAATAAAAGAGGTAGAGTGTCAAATTCATAAGCCTTACTCTTGGCTTTTTGGCTGAAAGTTGGAGATGTGTTACGAAAGTGTAAGACAAAGCTGATTCCTGAGGAGTTCTTACCCATCTTCCTTTTGGGGTGCTGAGAGAAGACTTTAGTGTGTGTGGATGTAGTTGCTCAGTATTGTATTTATCTTCTGTTGCTGCCAGTCAAGTCTCTTAAAAACTACATTCCAGCAACGATCTGCCTCAACCAATTTACTAGAGCACCCATCTCGCTCTACTATAGAGTCTAGTCTGTAGCCCCACATCTCCTTCAATGACAACATGGCAGGAATGCTGAATTTGAGAGCCAGTGGCTGCCTTAGAGAATGTGGCAAAGCTCAACACGAATGTGAAACAGAGCTGGCCAAAAAACACTCCTTATGTTGATCTAGACTTGAGAAGTTGAGCCTCTGAATTCAGCAGCAAGTTCCAGCAGAAGGCCCAGGATGGGCCTGGATGAATCATTGTTAGTAGGCTCCAGCCAGCATGAACCCAAAGATGAGCAATGGGGCTGGAGGACCCCTCCCTGCCAATGTGCAAGATCATCTAAGCCCTGCCCCTATAGCCTAAACACCATCTTAGAAAGGAAGGCAAGAAAGAGAAAATGGTGAGATTAATAAATTTTCAAAAGAAACATTTAAATCTAGAATGACTAAGGTATTGGCTCAGGCTATGTTTGGATTAGTTTTAGTATGGCTCTATTTTCTGCTATTTAGTGTGGTACAGGCTAGTAAAAAAGAGATAACGAAG